AAAAAAAAAAAAAAAAAAGGAAAAATGATCAACACCCTCAAAAGTGGCAGACTACAACATTTCCTTTTCTCTTTTCTTACTATGAAATACTTATACCATATATGATTATCAAAAAATTATAAATGTAACACGCACCACAAACATATAAACTTTAGTGGTAGTATTATTTACCCCATGGCGAGTAATGTGAGTAACCAAGTAGTGAGAGAAGAGAAAGCAGCTGCATGTAAATTGGGAGCATTCCATTGTATCACATTCTGAATTCCAGTAAGTGAGGTGATGAAGCCCACCACTCCAGCAATAAGTGAAAATATGATGAGAAAACCAGTTGCCATGTTTCCAAAAGGAAAGAATATAGGAAAGATCTTAGCTGGAATTGGCAGAGTTGATGCTGCAAATATTTTTTGTGACACGTTAAAATCAAGAAAAAAATATTTATTAAATATGTTGGAACTAATGGAGGACAACTTTTGCCTTGACAGGAAAGAAAAAGAGATGGACGATACGAATTACCTGTTTCTTTGGATCTTACTATGGCATGATTAACAGCCCAAGAAGCAATTATAATAACAATGAAGTAAAGCAAGACATTAAGTATCAAAAGCATAAATGCTGCTGATTTTCCTGCCCCTGAAGCCATGGCCTGACAAGTTTAGCTTTGACAGAAGCAAAGAAGGGAAATTTTATTGAATCACTCACTTTTGTGATTTCAAATACAGAATGCATATTTATATAGCCATGATTGTTCCATTCTTTATCTTAATAACGGTGACAGGTTGTTGCTTTGTTCCTTTTTTTTCTTTAAAAAATTGTCTTAAAGCCAAAGAAATGACGAGAATATCTTGAACTAATTTTCAGTTGCATCCTAGTAGAGGAAAGGAATCACTTTGGCTTCACACAGATGTAAAAGGTACTTTATTATATTCTCAAGAAAATACAAACTTGTAAATGCAGTTATGCATCTTTTTCTCAACTGGACTCTTCATTTACTTTGCACACCTGTAAAATGAGCATGAACTAGATATGACCATATGATGAAAACATGCAAACAATTCCTAGTTCAACATAAACATGCATTTAGAAAACACAAAGTTCTGGAAAATGGCCTGCTGGACACAGATATCCGAGCGATGTAACATATTTAAATCCAGATAAAGGAGGAGAGTTGTGATAGATAGATGACCAACATTGCAATAATCTACTATGATGAATTCTCATAAGAGCCATAACAGATACAGAGGATATTAGATAATTCAGATAACTGATTGAACTAGTCTGTAACTGAAATGTACATGATTGATTAATTAGAACAAGGTTTCCTAATTCTGCCCTCCAGTTATAGATAGACCAAGGGAAAAGAGTGTCCGTTGTTTATGACTACTATAAATATGTTCAACTATCTGATTATTGTGTTCAAAGGTCAATTTCGCGAGATCAGAATGGCAGAAGTAATCGATTCATCTGGAGAAAAGAAAGATAAATATGTTCAAAGTAGTCCAACAATTACAGTCTCATTGTCTTAAGGAACCTCTTTTATAGGAATAACTGATAAATTGTGGTTCCTTTACAAGATTTTCCCTAAAAGGGAATCTAAACAAGGTACAAGTTTCTTCACTTAGCAGATCATGAACTCTAAGAAGATTATTATGGATCAATCTGCCCTTAAATAATCTAAACATTCAATGCGAGCTTTTGAGCAGCAAGAGCTTCAGCCTCAAGGGTTGGCTCCCACAGAATAGTAGTTTCGGCAAGTAATCCAGTCACAACATAGGGGTCCATGTTTGAAGCTGGACGGCGGTCTTCCAAATAACCTGCATCCACCAATCCCATAAACAAAAAAGAGAAACAACCAGCATCAGAAAGACCATCAATACCAGCCTAAGTAAGCGTATAGCTAAATAGTTTACAGTTGATTAAAAGGCACTAAGAAACATGGATACATGGCTCGGGCATAACTGTTCAGAATAGAGTAAATCATCTTTTTTTTATTTTCAGATCCAGTATTTTACCTTTCTTTGTATGATAGATGTATGTTGATAAAAGTGGTCCACAAAAATAATCTAATTTTCCATTCTTCGCACAGAAAACAAAAGGAATATATTAATGTTACTCCTCTAATAAAGCAGAAACTTACCTTTGCCTTGCTTCTCAGTGTCACGCCCCACACGGATTGAGGCACCACGGTTAGCAACTCCCTGCAAATTTAGAAAATCACACAGGAATGAGGACAATTGGTACAGCCTATTTATGTCTAAGTGAAGGAAAGATCAGCAGCTTGAAGGAAAGACCAGCAGCAGGCATACCCATGAAAATTTGTCAATGCTTGCAGTTTCATGCTTTCCAGTCAACCTTCTCTCATTTCCTTCTCCATAAGCACTTATATGCTCCTTGTGGCGAAGGGAGAGATTCAGAATTGCTTTCTTTATTACTTCAAATCCTCCCTCTTCTCTCATACTTAGTGTACTGCAAACGACCAACCATGAATACTTATTAAGTGAATCTTTCAAAGGAGCTTTACTATGAAAACCTATGAAAACCTAAGTTGCTCGGATCCTTCATGATCTAAATCTTAAGATTCGGGGTTACGGATACCGGTGTGGATACGTCTGTGGAGATTCAGCTAAAAATAATTCAAATATCTAAAAATAGAGTTATAAAAATGTCTAAATTATGAGACATTATGGGAAAAATTTACAAGGTATTTCGAGAAGGATAAAGGATTGATCAAGAGGAGAATCAAGAAGGAGATAAAAGGAAAAGGACTGAGATAGAAATTTGTATATATAAGGTAACTTATTTTTCTTCAGTTTCACCTTAGCTTTTGTTTTGACTTCAGAAATCATTGGATCTGTCCTGAATTTCTCTATCGATTTTGGTCAGAGTACCCAAAATCGGTTGACCAGATCCGGAATGGATTCCACACCCACACCCACACCCACGTCGTGTCGACACGGGTGCTGCACCAGAAGTGAAGAATCCGAGCAACTTAGATGAAAACCATACATTGATTTTCAGAAGAAGTTGCTAAATTGGAAAAATGAAAAGCGAGGAGGGGGGATTGTTAAACAGAAAACAGGAACTTGTGGAAAGAAAAATCATGAAATAAAATGATGAGTGTCGTAAAAGTCACTTGGGACTAATTTGTAGCTGTAGCGACTAACTACATGTTGAGAAAGTGACTTATGTCATTCCCATTTCAGTATTTAAAAGATTCATATCCCAGATTTTATTTTTAAGATTGCCAGTTTCTCTCTTGAAAAAAGGAACTACCTGTAGTTAGTGTGGCATCCGGCACCATTCCAGTCGCCCTGTAAATACCATAACCAGAAAAGAACAAATGGAGTTTCATAACTAAACTTAATTTGAAAAAAAGAAAAGATTTATCAAAAATTTTAGATCACCTCAATTGGTTTTGGATCAAGTGAGAGAACAACTCCTGCTTGTTCAGTAATTCTCTGTTAGATCAAGGAACAAAAAACAGAATGAGTAAATCTGATTTTTCAGTCCAGTTAATAACGGTAGGAGACAAACCATTGCAACAGTCAAAGGAAGAAAATTACCTCAAGGATGTATCTGGCGCACCAGATGTGATCTCCAGCTTCAATTCCCACACTAGGACCTACTTGAAATTCCCACTGCCACAAAAACATTAAAGTTAATTCTCCAATTAGAGGCCTATAACTGACAGTGATGTTATTGTGATAGACAAAAGATGTGAAGAAAATGGTACCTGTCCTGGCATAACCTCTCCGTTAGTACCACTAATGTTAATTCCAGCATACAGACAAGCCTTGTAGTGAGCATCTGATATATCACGGCCAAATGACTTATCCGCTCCAGCACCACAGTAGTAAGGACCCTAAAGTTTCCATGATGATAAAATAGTTATGGGACTGATAAAGGTTGCACTTGTGGTGGATGATTTTTGAGCTGCCGATCATTCTATTGTGCAAAACAACTATTACCTGAGGTCCGGGGTAGCCTCCAACAGGCCAACCTAAAGGCCACTTCACATTTTGTTGGAGTAAGGTGTACTCTTGTTCTATTCCGAACCTAGTCAACACCAATTGCTAGACAATATTAGCAATATGATATTAAAATTCAAAAACAGGGAGGAAGAAGAAAACATGACACGATACAACAACATATACTCTTTTGATCCCATTTTCAGTGAGAGAAAAAATGATTTGCATTAACATCAAGAAATGATTGTTTCGTTTTCATCATCCATCAGTTAAAAGAGTTTTCTTTTCGAAACAGTTAAAAGAGTTAAGAAGCAGATATTGAATATTGCTTAGCATTTATGCACAAGAAAACACAATGTCTTAGTAAATTCATTTTCGAGGAAGTTTGTGAATGTGGTTTTACTCAATTAGTGAAGGATAAGCAATATTAATTTTGTTGTTTTGTTCAAAGGGAATAGTTGGTATTCTCTTATTCTAGGGACACAGAAAAAATAATGCAGAAGAAAAAAAATTAAACAGTACATAAAACTAGTGAAGTGAGGCAGATGAATTTAAAGTTACCATGGAACTTCAGATACAACTTTTGAGTCGCTAAAAATCTGAGCAGCTTTATGGCGTTTGTTTGATGGAATTGGCTCTCCAGCTGGTGTGTAGGCATCACAGATAACCTGTTTCAATTTACATAAACAATAACGCCAAACTTCAAAACCAATGAGATCAAATATTCAGTAGAACATCATGAATGAGTATTGTTAACTAACAAACTCACCAAGATGTTGTTACCACCACGGAAAGGGTCTTTAAATATTGCCTGAGGGCTGATGTAAAATGATATGAGGTTAGCTTTTGAAAGAAAAACAAAAAAACAAAAAGGAAGAGTGTAAGAAAGGAAAAATCTTCAAAAAGAAGAAAAAATTCATTTGCTGATCTTACTATAGAATGACTTCACTGTCTTCTCCAGGTGCTTGTCCAGTACTTGATCCATCGTAGTTCCACTTTGGGAGCTCAGAAGCATGCTTGACTGGCTTTGAAATAGTCTGAAAATTTAAATGCAAGAAATTAAGAGACGATTCATGACAAAATATAAATTCAGTTTCTCAAACTTTCATTGATTAAGTAAAGAAGCAGCATTATGTACCCTTGATTTACTGCGCATGTCAATTCCAGATCCTCCGATCCTGTTTTTAAGGAAACGAAATAAGGTCAGTCTGGCCACAAAGAACTAGCTGTAAAAAGGCAGTGAAAGTGAAAAGATAATGATAATGGTCACAACCCTTAATTCCCTACTATTTTAGTTTGAAAGTTTTATCTGAATAATTCAAATTTATAAACCTTTCGAGTGAAATGTTGAATAAACAGTAAGATGTGTGTATAGGAAAGAATCAAATACCAAATATATTCAGCAATGATCTTGTCAGTGTATGGAGTTACGTCCAAGTTTAGCAGCTGTTCCACTCTGTTCACAGTGCCACTATCAGATTGGAGAGCAAAGACTCTAAATTTGGCAGAGCTTTTAACAGCAAGTCTTTTATTCTGCTTCAACACCACAGAACTCCACATCTTTGAAGTCAAGGGATTAGCATCTGTTGAGCTCTTTGTCATTCTCATCTGCCATTGTGCAGATGGAGCCAAGATCTGAGCCATCTTCACCTAACCAACTGAAATGTAATAACAAGACAAGGAACTTTAGCACCAAAGTAGGGGTCTAAAATCCTATTCAATTCAGATGAAAATCATACAAACTAAATATCAGGATTCTACTTTAAA